AGGTGCTGCCGCCCTGAAAACTGCCGCCCTAGGCAAGTGCCTTGTGGTAAATATGCCACTTACTGTATATAGCTTTTTAGTCCCTGGGAGTATCAGTAGTGTATTTATGTTTTGTGCTGCCCTAGGTAGCAGAAAAAAGCTGCCGCCCCCACCACCCACCTGCCCGTGCACCACCCCCAGGAGAGATGGAAAGAACAGAGAGAGGAGAGACTCATAACCACTCCCCTCACTCCACTCTTCCACCTGCCGCCCAGCCCCAGAAACCTCCTTGACGCGTTCACCACACAGGAATCTGTGAAGGACAGCTAGAGCCCCTTCTTCCAGGGGCTGTGCTACCCAAGGCAAACGCCTTATTTGCCTTGCAGCAAATACACCCCTGGGGACCACTGGCAGTCGAAAACATAATAAGACATTCTGTGGGACATTTTGTACAGTTTCTGCAAGATAGCCAAGGAATCCTAAAGTTTGTGCAGTTCTTCAGTTTTGGGGTATACCATGCTCCCTCACCCTATCCAAGTTTAACGTTCCCAATAAAAACCATAGACTGTTCTTTGGAGCCAGTAGAAGAGTGAAGAAAATGCTGTGTGCCTGGCAGTGTGCAGTCTAAGTGTGGAAATAGGAGCAAATTTACCAGCGGCTCCTTAGGGGGTGCACTACACTTACAGTTAAACAAAGCTGAAATAATTTTACTTTCCTTTGCATGTCCTGTGGGTGTTTCTCACATTACACACTCTCACAAATAAAGAAATATACTATCAGGGGCGGACTGACCATTTGGAAACTCGGGCACTGCCCGAGGGCCCGGGGTCAGTAGGGGGCCCCATGAGATGCCCCTCGTACCTTTTTGCATAGGCTTTCTTGAGTTTGGGCAAGGACACAGGGGCCCCATGATCCCCTATTGCCTGGGGGCCCTATGAGCTGTCAGTCCGCCCCTGTATACTATATATACAGAGTGTACAGTATTAAAAAATCTCTCTCTCTCTCTCTCTCTCTATATATATATATATATATATATATATATATATATATATATACTAAGAGCATGTATTAGTGAACAGCAATACGTCTATCAATAGAGATATACGGGACTTTCATCTGTATATTTGTTCTGGGTCGGTGACTCTAAGTATTGACGCCAGAGGGTCAGCATAACAGCCGAGCAATTGTCAGAAGGAGAGTTCAGAAATGGCAGCCTTCATATTTCTCTAATGACATGTTTCCTTTACATTGAACCTTTATTCCATTTTAATGTTCAACAGTTAATCTGACAAAAAGCAGACATCAGATGATTAATGCTATTATATGTATTAGCCAGAAAAACCTCTCCTATGTCCCTCTTTGATTTAGCTTTAATTTAATAATTAGGCTCCACTTTCATGTACAGACATACCTCGGTTTACAAACGCCTTGGTTAACATAATTTTTGGTTTACGAATGAAAAGCCATTGAAAATAATGCTTCGGTTTGCACATTTTTTTTCGCAATATGAACAGATTAATTGGTTTTCAGTGCATTTACGAATTTCTTTTTTAATCATGTCCCTAGCGGTCTGATTATGTCAGTTTTTCTGTGCTCAAAACAGTCAATTTTTTTGCATGGGAATATGTTGTTTTTTTATTGTAGGCCTGTATTTCTTTGGAATAACTCACTGAAATCTGCCCAAACAAGAGTCTAGTAAACATCCCAGGTAGGATAAAATCTGAAACACGAAATCATAAATTATAATATAATAAATAGTCATAAAAAAATAATAATATAATAAATAATAAATTTAATTCACTAATGTAATTAAACCTAAAACACTGAAATTAGAAATAGAGCGCCAAGTTGAGCTTAGTGGCAAAATTGTTTTCAGTGTATGATGACAAATTTCCACACGAATAATTATCACTCAATTCTGCAAGTGGTTCTAATTTACTATCGCTGTTCTCTAGCTTTTTGGACGCCATGGACATTTCTCAGTTTCCAGGCAGAAAGAACAGTAAAAATGCAGGCAGGGCACAGGACAAAGCACTCGGGACAACATGTATGTGAAATGGTTTGACATAGTAATGTTATACTATGAGATTTTAGTGTATTGATTGAATGTCACTTTTTAACATTTTTGAATTTCCCGCCGGTTCCGTCCCCCATATGTCCCATATGTCCTGACGCTCGCAGGGAACAGAACCCGGAAGACGGATGCCAGCATCAGCTAGAGGAGATGGCCGGGGACGCTGCAGGGGGGGACATCGCGGGAGCGCAGGACAAGGTAAGTGCTGGAGGGAATCCCTGAGCAACGCTGCAGGGTAATCCCGAGTGTAGCTCAGGGCTACCGCTTTTGGTACTGAAACTTAACCCCGAGCTACACTCAGGAATATCGCCAGGGGGGTTAATCATGTCCCTGTACAGTATTTATGCCTTTAAAGTGCACTTTATAGAGAGTTTTGAACAGATAAGACTTTTTTTTTACTTTTTTCTGACCTCTGGAACGGATTAATTGGTTTTCAATGCATTTACGAATTAATTTTTACTCATGTCCCTGTACAGTATGTATGCCTTTAAATTGCACTTTATAAATAGTTTTGAACAGATAAAAGACTTTTTTTTTTTACTTTTTTGTGACCTCCAGAATGGATTATTTGGTTTTCAATGCATTCCTATGGGAAACCGTGTTTTACGAATTTACAAATTTTTTGCAATACAAAAAGTCCCGCAGAACGCATTAAATTCGTAAACTGGGGTACGCCTGTACTTCATGGCTAAGTCCTGTCAATATTATTATCACTGTTTGATGGCATTGACTTCTAGCCCAACTCCGTGAGAAGTAAAACTCCACCCTTGCAGTGGGGTTGTACGTGCTCTCCATGAGTTAAATGCTTGTTTATGTCTAGAAGACAGAAAAACAGTTTTACTGATCCAATCCTCTGCTCCCCTGCTCCAGCACTGGACTGTTCCTCAGCGTCCTTACTTCCAATGTAGGGCTATAGGCCCTGCATCACTCTCGATGGCATCAGAGGGCATCTGACCACTGGAGTGCAGGAGAAAGAAGGCTGCAGGAACTGATCATGCAGTGCAGACAAGCCTGCAGGAGGATACGATCAGGTAGATAAAGGTCCTTTTCCTGGTCCTCAGACATAAATGGAAATTTACCCTTGCAGTGCGGAGGCAGACCCACTGCAAAGGAGAATGTTAACTTTTCCTGGATTTCAGCTTTAATCTCCATTAACTGCTTTCTCGATAAACAGTGGAATGGCAGTTGGAAACTTTAGGCGTGAAAGTCAAGCCTAAAGAGTGGCACTTTCAAAAACGTAAAATGCCGTCAGGGCTGGATTTGGTCTCATGTGGGCCCTAGGCACTACTTTCCACCGGTGGCCACATCAGAGTTTTCCTCCCTGTGGCTCTCTCACTATACTGTGCTGCCCACCTTCCCACTTATAGAAGCTATCCTTCTACATCTTCTTCTCTTTGTAGACTTCTACATCTTCTTCTCATTGTAGACCTCTACTCAGGCTATGGGATACTGTCCCCATGTGTGGGTGTGCTTTATAAACTAAAGTCCCTGGCCAGCTCTGAGCTAGGTAGTAGGGCTAGGAGAGAGAGAGGACAGAGGGTAGAAGAAATAGACTTTCTATCGTTAAAACAAAAGATTTTAAAAGAAAAGAAGGAAGCAGTTGGTAACTTTAAGTTATGATGATTCTTGTGAGGGTCCTAAATATTTCATGGGCTCTAGGCATACACCTAATTGGAAATCCATGCTTGGTTTTATGGTGAAGAAGTTGAACGCTTTATTTTTGCTTATCTCTGTAGAATGGGGATGGAATTGCCTATATTTCTCCTTGCATACAGTATATCATTAATACCCCAGACACTGGCCAACCTACATACCTCATATATCAGACTGGCAGTCCTAAAAACTGTCATTGTTCTCCCAGGCCACCAACAACAATTCATCATTTAGAATCCTACTGTTGCTCCTCCAGGCAGATTTGGATATGATTGGTGGCAGTGTGGAAAAAAATTACAGCTTTCAATACTGCCACTTTGATAGGGCCAGTTATTGGAATACCTTGTGTCACCTAATGACCCCTAATATCTAGCACAACCATTTTTCTTAAGGGTGGATGTTGAATATTTAACAAGAATAAAGCCAGAATGCAATAAGGTTGCTCCATTTAAGCAATGGCATTGATTTACTAAAGGCAAATAGGCTGTTCACTTTGGAAGGGAATTTTCCCATAGATTAGTGAATGTGGTAAAAATTCACTTTGCAAAGAACTCACAATGATGTGCAAGGGAAAAAAAAATATTTTTGCTTGCAGATGATTGGATGATGGAAGTCAACAGAGTTTCACATCATTCACTAAGACTGGGCTCCCCAAATTGTTCAGTATGAGGGCCACATCTAATGTTTTACAAATATTCACAGCTGAAAAAAAAATCAGTATTGTAAATGAGTGCATAAAATTTAAATTAAATAATATGATTTACTAGGAGTTTTTTTTTGTAATCACCATGATATGACTATAGTTGGAACAACAGAGAATAAACTGCAGAAAAACAAACCAAATAAATTCCTAAAACATTTGAGTCCCCCTTATATTAGAGTCCCCATCAGAACCCTCATCAAAGATCCCCTTACATTGGAGTCCTCCTTGCATCAAGGTGCCCATCAGAGTCAACCTTACATCAGAGTCACCATCAAAGTCCCCCTTACATCAGAGTCCTCCCTTACATGAGAGTCTTCATAAGAGTCCTTTCTTAAATGCAAGTCCCCATCAGAATCCCCCTTACATCGGGGTCCCCATCAGAATCCCCTCTTACATCAGTGGGCTGAATAAAATCCTGCAGCAGGCGGTAGTTTGGAGACCCCTGTACTAAGCTAAGAGAAAATGCCCCTGCAAATGAAAACAGCCTATTTGCCTTTAGTTAGTGAACCCCAATGGGTCTGTACAATAGGCTCGGATCCTACGACTGGGCAAGTGAAAGCCCTAGTTAACCCACAGGGAATCTGCTATGGGCCCAAGCTACACTCGGGCTTACCATGCAGCGTTGCACAGGGATTCCCTGCAGCGCTTACCTTGTCCTTCACTTTTCCGCGATGTGTCCCCTGCAGCATCCCCGGCCATCTCCTCCAGCTTATGCCGGCATTCGGCTTCCGTGTTCCGGTCCCTGTGACGTCGGAACATACGGGCGCCGGAACCCGGCAGAAAATTTGAAAAATTTAAAAAATGACATTTTATTTTAAAATGATTATTACATAGTAAAACATTCCTGTATCAAAGCATTTCACATACATTTTGTCCCTATTGCTTTGTCCTGTGCCCTGCCTGCATTTTGACTGTTCTTTCTGCCTGGAAACTTAGAAAAGTCCATGGCGTCCAAAAAGCGTCCCTTTATATCAAAATCAGTTTTAGACCTGCTAGAGAACAGCGATAGTAAATCAGAACCACTTGCAGAATTGAGTGATAATGATTCGCCTGGAAATTCGTCATCAGACACTGAAAACGATTCTGCGACTTTGCTCAGTGATGTGCGCATTTGGCGCTCTATTTCACATTTCAGTGTTTTTGGTTTGATTATATTATTGAATTAAATTTATTATTATTATATTGTTATTTTTTATGATTATTTATTAAATTATAATTTATGATTTCATGTTTCAAGTTTTATCATATCCAGAATGTTTACTAGACTCTTGTTCGGGCAGATTTCGGTGACTTATTCCTAAAATACAGGCCTACAATAAAAAAAAACTACATTTTTTCCATACAAAAACATGGTACCGCTTTCAGCACCAAAAATCTGGAATAATCATACCGTTAGTAAGGTTAAATGAGGGGAACAGTCACTAGTAGGTGACTACTGCTACCACTCCTATCAGCTGGTCTACTCCATGCCTGCCTTACAGGTGGTCCTCGCTCAGGGGGCCAGTGAGTCCTGAGTTTTCCTCCACTTCCTCCTCCAGCCTCACATCTTCCTACTCCAACTTCCACCTGACTCCTCCACTCTCCTGCTACTGAACAAGCTCTTACACATTTAAGGGAGTCTCGGCCCCTTGCCAAGCCTTCTGTTGGGGATTGGCTGAGGTCCCTCAAGACTGCAACTAGTCACTCTTCAGATCCACCCACTGCTTCCAAGTCCCTCCTCCAAAATCCTCAGAGCAGGGGGCAATTCCACAGGGGCTGGCCTGCAGAGTCTTTCAGTCCTGACAACAATTTGACCCCTCTGGCTATCACACCTGAGCTGCTAACCTGCTCCTGACCAACCATTAGCATCTAGCTCCCCTAGCTGCACCAAGAGGGTGCTACAGGTGGTTATAATGAAGGCTTACCTACCCACTCAGAAATCCCTGTAAGGCTGGCCATACATTATACAATTTTCTTATTCAATGTCCTTTAGATTTACCTTTAGCTATGTAGTGCAAGGGCCTGCCTGATTGCATATAAATTGAAAGTGCTTAAGTTTGACCTCATAGTATATGGTTTTGGTAAACTGAAAGGAAAATTGTATATTTGTATGGCCAGCCTGGAAGGATATGGTTAGAGATGAGCGAATCGAACTAGGCGAACCGGAATTCGAGTCGAATTTCAGGAAATATTCGATTCGTGTCGAAACCGAAATTTTGCCTACTTCGGGTGCGCGAATCGAACATTTCCCGATCAGCCGGCAAAAGTGTCCCTGCAGTGAGCTCCGCTATTTCTGACAGTTCTCTGACAGAAGGAACACATGTTTAGCGGTTGAAACATTGTATCTATTAGTTTACATTTAGGATACAGATGTTTCAACCACTGTACATGTGAAGAAGTTGTGAGAGAACTGTCAGAAATAGAGGAACTCTGCACATACACTTTTTGCCGGCTTGGAATTATTCTTCTTTTCATCCTACTTCTTCTTCTTCTTCATCCTCAGAAGAAGAGGATGAGGATGAGGATGAAGAAGAAGAAGAAGAAGAAGAAGAAGAAGAAGAAGTAGGATGAAAAGAAGAATAATTCCAAGCCGGCAAAAAGTGTATGTGCAGAGTTCCTCTATTTCTGACAGTTCTCTCACAGCTTCTTCACATTGTACAGCGGTTGAAACATCTGTATCCTAAATGGAAACTAATAGATACAATTTGTATCTATTAGTTTCCATTTAGGATACAGATATTTCAACCGCTGTACATGTGAAGAAGCTGTGAGAGAACTGTCAGAAATAGAGGAACTCTGCACATACACTTTTTGCCGGCTTGGAATTATTCTTCTTTTCATTCTTCTTCTT